ATTATGGGGTTTATTAGGGAAGCACCACAGGCTACAATTCAGGTTCAGGAAAAAAATGCTCAGTCTCTCTCCCAGCCCACCGTCCCTCAGCCAGCAGTCTCTCACAGTCTCTTTCTCAGCAGTGCTGGTCCCTCGGTGTCTCACTCAGCAATGCATGCCTCTTGCATCTCTTTCCCAGCAATGCGTGTCTCAGGAGCCCGTGTCTCTTTCAGCAGCACGTCTTCCTCCACCAGCAGTAAGAGAGAGTTCTGCCTCCAGGAGGTCTCCTTTTGAGCCCGGCAGGGTGGTCAAACTAGCCAATTATAGCATCAGAACTCTAAGCACCTGAGAGAGTGGGCACTTCCCAGAACGTTGTTTTGTGCCACTCCCAACAGAAATACTCCAGGTGGACAACTTTCAGGAGCTCCTCAGTTGCTCATAGAAAATCCCACCTTGGAGTTTACAAAGACTTATGGGTAGAAAAGCCACACAAAGTAATTTACTACACCTCACAGGGGTTCCACCTGGCTATATCAGACCAGCGAAGCTGGTCCCCCCCCCCTTTTTTTTTATGGTTTTGAGTTTTGTTCCACATTGTTTTCCCACCCTATCCAGTTATTTTCAGCAAGATTTTACTTATGTGTGATATTAATGATATTATGTGATAATTATTCTGGATCACTTTTCTTTGGAATGAGCACAAATATGATCTCTTCCAATTAGTTGGCCAGGTAGATATCCTCCAGATTTCTTGACATAGATGCATGAATGCTTCCAGCATTTTGCATTCGTTTGTTGAAACATCTTAATTGGTATTCCATCAATTCCTGGAACCTTGTTTTTGCTAATACCTTCAGTGCAGCTTGACTTCTCCTTTCAGTACCATCAGTTCTTGATCATATGCTACCTCCTGAAATAGTTGAGTGTTCGATTCTTTTTGGTACAGTGACTGTATATTCCTTCCATCTTCTTTTGATGCTTCCTGCATCGTTCAGTATTTTGCCCATAGAATTCTTCAATATTGAAACTTGAGGCTTGAATTTTTTCTTCAGTTCTTTCAGCTTGAGAAATGCTGAGTGTGTTCTTCCCTTTTGGTTTTCTAACTCCAGGTCTTTGCACATTTCATCATAATACTTTACTTTGTTTTATTGAGCCACCCTTTGAAATCTTCTGTTCAGCTCTTTTACTTCTTCATTTCTTCCATTTCCTTTAGCTGTTCTGCATTCAAGAGCAAGCTCAGAGTCTCTTCTGACATCCATTTTGGTCTTCTCTTTCTTTACTGTCTTTTTAATGACCTTTAGCTTTCTTCATGTATGATGTCCTTGATGTCATCCTACAACTGGTGTTTGGTCAATGTGTTCAGTGTGTCAAATCTATTCTTGAGATGCTCTAAATTCAGGTGGAATATACTCAAGATTGTACTTTAGACCTCATAGACTTGTCTTAATTTTCTATAGCTTCATCTTGAACTTTCGTTTGCTCAATTGATGGTCTCTTCCACAGTCAGCTCTTGGCCTTGCTCTGACTGGTGATACTGAGCTTCTCTATCATCTTTTTCCACAGATGTAGTTGATTTGTTTCTTGTGTATTCCATCCAGTGAGTTCCATATGTATAAACACTGTTAATGTTGTTGAAAAAAAGTATTTTCAATGAGTAAGTTGTTTGTCTTTCAAAATTATATCCTGCCATTTTGTTTCTATCATCAAGACCCTATATTCCAATTACCAATCCTTCTTTCTTTCCTGCCTTCACATTCCAATCATCAGTCATTATCAATGCATCTTGATTGCGTGTTTGGTCAATTTCAGACTGCAGAAATTGGTAAAAATATTCAATTTCTTCATCTTTGGCTTTATTAGTTGTTGTATAAATTTGAATAATAATCATATTAATTGGTCTTCCTTGTAAGTGTATGGATATTATCATATCTCTGACAGTATTGTACTTCAGGACAGATATTGAAATATTCTTTTTGATGATGAATGTGATACTATTCCTCTTCAATTTGTCATACCCAATATAGTAGACCATATGATTTTCTGACTCACATGACCAATACCAGTCCATTTCAGCTCAGTAATGCCTAAGATATCAATCTCTATGCATTTCATTTAA